GCTCCACAGTTCCAACGACCGTCAGGGGCGGTAAGAAGGAACTGAGGGGCGCCGGGTCGGCTGGGGTATATATTCAGCGCCATGAAGGCGCCACTCTAGGGGGCTCCACAGCCGACCCGCCGGTGTTGCTAGGGTAAAAATCTTCCGACGATCGTGCACGCGGCGCGCACACACCTAATGGAATGGATATGAGCAAGCACTCGAAGAAGAACGTATTGTACTTACCTCATTTTAGTATGTGTGCCATAAGTACTCATGAATAGGATTAGAAAGTGCCACTATTGCAAGGTAACTTTTACATGGGATTAATTTATGTGCAGTTTTACTAATAGGGCATATGCCAGGTACACGAAGAAGAAAGGAAGATAGTAGCTCCTCTGTAGGGGCAGGTCTCCAAGTCACACCCTGCATAGCCCCTAGAGACCAACCTGAATATGTATCTACATACTTGGAATGGCCTTTTCTTCAACATGCAGGCTAGCAGGGATAGCAAATTTGTATAATTTTTGGTGGTGCCCAGAACAGGTCCAAGTCCCAACCCCTCCCCCCTACACACACATACCCCTGCCTAAGGCTGTGGGAGGGAGCTTGGGGGGGGCAGGCTCTGGGTACGGGAAGGATGTGGGATTTCTGGGGGAGTTTAGGTGCTGGGTGCGGGCTCTGGGCTGAGATGGGTTGTGGGAGGGTTGGGGTGCTGGGTGCAGGCTCTGGGCTGGGACAGAGGGTGGGGGTACGGGGCTGGGCCAGGGATGAGGAATTTGGGGTGCGGGAGGCAGGCTGCCCCAGGGCTGGGCCAAAGAGGAGAACTCCCCCCAGCCCTCTCCTTGCCGGCAGCAGTGAGCTCCGGGGGAGCCCTCCCCAGCACGACACTCACCCAAGACCCCCCAAGCTGCTGCTCAGGAGGTCCAGCCAGGATAAGCACCCCCCACTTAGAGTCACCTGCCATGGGAAGGGGGGCTGCCCTGCACCTCCTCCCCCGGCAGGCGCAGCAGCTTCCTGAGCCTGCCCCCAGTGCCACTCCCTTGTTGCCAGCAGCAACCAGTGAGGGAGCGCAGCCATCCGCTGCCCAGGGCAGGCAGCGACGCTCGGGGGAGGGGGCAAGCCGAGGCAGCAGGTAGGGCTGAGGGACACTCTGGGGGAGCCGTGCGGGGGTGACAGGCGAGGCTGGGGGAGAGACCCAGCCCCAAACATTGGTGGAACCGGGCCCCCAGGGCCCTGAATTTGCTGGAAGCCAGGAACCACGGGCCCGTACAACTCGCCACCCCTGCAGGCTAGGGTACATGGAGCTCAGCACATATACCGACTTATCATTTATTATGAGTGTTTCAGATCAGCACACTATGGCCCAGATCCCCAAAGGTATTTAGGCTCCTGACTTCCATTGAAATCAGAGAGCTTTATTTATATGTTCAAAATTTCCCCTTCCCCTCAGGTTTTTTAAGTTTTTGAATGCATAGCTGTAGTCTTACTAATACGCGGCTTTTACACAGACCTTTATGTGCAATAGAGCAGGAACCTCACTGGAAGTGGCCCTTTAGTAAAGCCTAAGCTGGATTTAGATGTCAAAGTACACACCTTGCCCAGCCTTTCCCCACACTAGTTGATCTGGTAGATTTACGTTCTTCTACTCTCCACACACGATTCATCCACAAGTTGAATGCTTTACACCCTGTGGTGTGGGTTTCTTGCCAAGCAGGAGGGGGGCAGCTGGTGTAGAAGAACTAGGAAGATGATGGACAGATGTCCCCACAGTGGCTTGGGTATAATCAGAATGAAATCTCTAAGTGTGTACACAGAAGGATGTAACAGCAGAGAACCGGCATTGTGAGACTTGCAGGAAAGGAGAAATGAGCCAAGATTGCTCATTGTCTAAAGCTGAATGTTTGCCAAGAGCAGCCTGAGAAAAGGAGGTGGGGAGAATTGCAAAGGAAGGTTGGAGACTTACCAGAATCAAGGTGTGCAATCTCTCTGGAATGGTAACTGCTAGCCAAATTCAGGCTACAGGTGAGATAGCTGCTGTCGGAATGAGGGCTGAGTAGCTGTGGAATGTTGCCAGGGAGGGGCTAGCATGTTACAGGTGGAAAGATGTGACACCATTTCACTCCCTGTAACAAAAATGAGCCTCTAGCCATTAAGTATGTTTTAGGTTTTTAAAAATGATAACTTAAAAGGGAAAGTCAATGCCATTAATTTTGAAACAAGCTGAAATGCTCCTGAAACTTAAAAGTGGCATTCTTCTTTAATGATATGCTATCTGCGAGTGAACTGCTACAAGGCACCTGGGGTTTGGGAAACGGATGGGTAATTCTCTCAGGTGATATACAAACACTTTCAGAAATTCATCACTGATCTGACTCTTTTTCAGGGAGGGTAATCCAGGGAAACTGGTCTAGAGAGTGAGAGTTCTCCTTCCTGTACCTGGTTTCACTTGGGATATTTTTCCCCATTAAATTTTAGGATCTAGGATCTGTGTGTGTGGGTCTTGCTATTTTAGAAAGATTGGATGGGCTTTTCTCATGAGAGTTCTATCAGACAGCGTAAATGGCCTGGCTTTGGTACAAAGCTAAAATTAAAAAAGCTTGTAGTGGCATTTTAGGACTATTCATGAAAGCTCTGTAGATTAATATCTGAATTTAACAGGCCCTCCTTCCTACACGTACAGCATTGCATCACAGTAGTGATGGTGAATGGGAACTTAATGGCTAATTCTATTTTCCATAAATTGTCAAATTATTGTACTCATGCTGTAACTGTTTCCACACTAAAATATTCCTTGCAAGATAGTGAGATGTGTTTGAAAAGTATAATATGAAGAGCCAACTACAACACCTGTAGCCTGCAAGCTGCATAGACTAAATTAAATGCAGAGGCCCAGATTTTAAAGATGTGTAAGCGTTGCTCCACTCACACTGCAAGACCTAAGTTACTTAGGGCTGGTCTATATTTCTTAGCATATGCGCAACGTGCCTCAGGTGGCACATGACCAGGATTCATCACCAAATTTTGTCTGCTTGGATCATTAGTTTCCCCGGTGTGGAACTGGTACTGACGGGGAGTGTGACGTGAATGCTGATCCATGCTCTCCTGGTCCACACTGGACATAGGCATAGCTGTGGGGGTGTGAAAAATTCACACCCCTGAGAGAAGTCACTATGCCAATCTAATCCCCAGTGTAAGCAGTGCCAGGTAGGCAGAAGAATTCTTCCATCGCCCTCGCTACTGCCTCTAGGGGAGGTGAATTAACTTCAGCGGCAGCAGAATTCCTCCAATCACTGTCGAGTATCTACACTGAAGCACTACAGCTGTGCTGCTGTAGCATTTTTAGTATAGACATACCCTAAGTAGCTTCGAAAACTTGGGCCTGAACGAGTACTCTGACAGTGGAGTTCCACTAGTGTGAATGCAGAGTAATAGAACAAAATCTGACCATCTGTCTTTCTGAGCTCATGCCATACTATCAAATAACATTCGTGGCAAGCAAGTTCCGGGAGGCAGTAGTGAAGGTGCAAAAAACCAAACAAACAAACCCCACCATCCCCAAACTGTTGAAAGATGTGTTTGCAAATTGGAACGTGAAGTTTCTTTCTGGCTCCACTGCAATAAACAGAATCCCCAACATACAGCCAAGAACTACAAGGAGTGAAGCTGAAACTGTGATTGATCTGTAGAGCAGAGGGAAAGACTGAAAAGCAGCAACAGGTGGGGACAAGGCAGAAGAGAGGTTTAACTTCTTCCCCTGTAGATTGTACTGAATCAGGGAGACAGCCATGATACCTAGTCGTTTTTGATGTCAATTTCTATTTAATAGAATAGAGATAAATAGGAAAACCAGGACATGTTTTACTTAGCCCCACTTTTCCCACATCACATTTGTTCAATGAATACTAGTGTGTATAGAACATATTTTTGCTGGTATAAAACTTGTCATTTATTTGCCAAGGCCAAAGCAGTTAAGATACGTTAATGGAGGAGTTTCATATAGCGCAAAAGGACACACATTTGTATAGCTTCAGATTTTTGCCTTTCAGCTGCCTCATTTCACTAGGCAAATCTTGAAGGCGCTAAGTACATTTAAAATCATTTTAAAAATGAAACCTTTATTAAATTCTACTCCTTAACAAAGGAGTGTAAATTAATGAAATCACTCTTAGCTATCCTCTGTGTAAATTACAATAGACTAATAGCATATTAGCTTATAAAACTAGACAACTTTGAAACTTGATTTTTCCATTACACCAAATAAGTGATGTTAGGGAGAGGGGAAAAAAAACCCAAAATGGTCAGCCTTGAAAATGCTGGTGTCAGTCAGACGTGAACAGACTAAGAATTATCTTGTTTAACGGAAATGCAGTGTACATAGATGTGCTTTTAGGGTCTATCTCCACTGCAGCTGAGAGCATGCCTCCCAGCCCGGGCAGCCCTCCTGCGCTAGTTCTACTAGCACACAAACTAGCCATGTTTATGTATTCAGATGGCTAGCCTGGGCCGCCACCCATACTGCTATGGCATTTATGCTATGCTAACTCAAGAACAGCTAGTGTGTCTGTCTGCACTAGCTGGGAGGCACTCTCCCAGGTGCAATGTAGACATATACTTAGCATTATTCATAGTCACATTCATGTTTGTAGTATCTTACTGATTGCATTTTGTATCTATGGTAAGCAGAAACTATTCTTTCCGTAAAATCCATCAACTGGCAGTGAACTCAGACAAGCCTATACTAAAAACTTTGTC